CTTGTCACTTGTCACTTGTAGTTTGACACTTGTCACTTGTCACTTGTAGTTTGACACTTGTCACTTGTCACTTGTAGTTTGTCACTTGTCACTTGTCACTTGTGCGTCACCATGACTGACATGCGTGGCTGCTGGCCCGTCAACCTACCTCAGCACCGTCGGATCGTTGTCCTTCTGAAAGACGCACGTCTGGTTGCCGATGACGACGCGATACTGTCCGACATCCTCTCGCATGTACGTCGTGTGACTAGCGCCCCCTACTGACAGCAGCATGCCGCCGTCACTCATCCTGCACAGATGAAGCAGACGAGGTGATGTCAGCATTACAAACAACTTATCTAGTGCTATCTATATACCTATACAACGTATTCGCCAGCGAGCCGTGCAGCCGTGATTTGCACGGTCAGTTTTGAAACTGCACAACCAAAAAAATTTAAACATTTAAACATTTAAAAAATTTACCAATTTTCTGGTGGTCATGGCCAAGACAAAAAAAATTGCACTCCCAAATATTTTTTCTGCACTCCCACAATAGTCATTCCTGCCTAATAGGTAAGGAGGGTGGCGGTCGGGGGGAGGGTGGTGGCGCCGGGGTGGGGAGTGGGGATAAGGGTAACGTACTTGTGTAAGTCTTGCGTCTATGGTGGAGCCGTTCATACACAGGCAGAGTGAGCTGATGGTGGGGGGCGCGGGGTCGAGGGAAGGTGGTGGCGAGGGGTAGGGTGGTGGGCGGGGACGGTGGTAGGGTGAGTACTTGTGTAGTGCTGGCGTTAATGGTGGAGCAGCGTTCATGGACACAGCAGGTAGCTGAGGTGGGGGCGGTCGGGGATGGGGTGTGGTCGGGGGGAGGTAGTGGGGCGCGGCGGGTGGTAGGGTGACGTACCCTTGTGTAGCGTTGATCTATGGGTGGAGGAACCGTTCATTCACACAGCAGGCAGCGCCTATGGTGGCGGCGGGAGTCGGGTGGGGGGGAGGGTGGTGGGCGGGGGGAGGTGTTGGTGGGCCGCGACGGAGGTAGGTGCGCGGGCCCAGCGTAGGACAGTCAACTGACGCTACCTTGTGTAGTCTGCGTCTATGGTGCGATAGCCGTTCAGTCAAGCAAGAACCAGCAGAGTAAGCTGATCGGTGGGCGGAGCGGGTCACGGGGGGAGGTGTGGGCGAGGGAGGGTGTGCGCCATGCGGGGGCGAAGGTGGTGGGAAATCGCG